GAAGGAGGGTATGAGAAACCACAAGATAATTGCTTAGTGATAAGTATAACAACTTTCCATCATATGTTATCATATGTTAAATAAAAGTAGATGTGATTTCTGGAAGGTCCAGCAGCAGGAGAAAGGTGAACAAAGTGTATGAAATTTCAGTCGGAAAACCGGAAGTAAAGAGAACGCCTGGATACTTAGCCACAGAAGAACGGACAGTACTAACTGGGGCTTGGAAAAGAAATATGATGCTTGGTTGTGGACTAAACTGTCCCAGGATAAGGTCCTGTGACGGGTACACGTCAATACGGTTACGGGCTTTCGGTTCCTGTAAAAGGCGAGGAAATGTATTACCAGCTGGACGACTGGCAGTTCTAGAGAAACGCTCATCTCTACAGAGTGAGTGAATGAGCAAGTGAATATATGGTTGACTTGAAAGGATTCTGACGATTACTGTACTTCTTTTGGCTTGTTTTGGACTTCATCCATCGTCTGGTACGTAAAAGACAAAAGACCACGACGTTTCGGAGACTGGATCTCTCTCCGTCTTCAGATGGGTAGGGAAGGATAAACCTACTCAGTTGGGCCCGTTAGAATGAGCTAGTCTCAATCACTGGACGAGTGATATATATACGAGAAATGACAACTGATTATCTTCTTTCTCTTGCCTCTTTAAGCACCATTTTTGTGAATTTTTCCAGTTGTTTCTATGTGATTCTCACATGTATTCATGCAACATGTTAGTTTTTATGGAATATATTGTGAACCAATCCTATACATAATGAATTTCTATGATGTTTTCAATATAAAAATTCCATTTTCTAAGAAAAAACATTATCAGTTCCTATATCAGCATATATTTTACACTGAAAATTTAGAATATTATGTATGTAAAATTTCGGTAATCAACCAGCTGTAAGTAGAACCACTTCATGTCATTATAGAAAAAGAGAGTTATTGAAATTGACATCACAACAATAAAGTCCGAATATCTTTCCTTCTGATAAGAATGTTAATTTCTTTGGCTGGAATCCCTTCACATGACTAATCTAAGCAATGCATTGGATCAGCTGCTCAGCTACGTACAGTGCACAATTAGCATGATCCTCTTGCTAACTGTGGGGGGAACACCGTTGGACGCGATGCAGAGGTACGCCCCCATATGCAGCCGGTTCACCCTGGTGATGTTGAACACTGGGCCTTCCACACTCGTTGCTGTCATAGAAACAAAATGCAAACTTAGAGGCATGTGCAGCTTAAACAGGTCTCTTAGCAGAGTGTCTATTGCTCTCAAACACACAGACCTACAGTCTACAATTTATTTATTGGAGATCTATTTAACATCTTAAAAAGTTACAATTTATGTACGTTCAAACTCAATTATGTCTTTTTCTATGGCTCTACAGACTTGTGTTGGGCTTTGGTCACTTTTAAATTACTTAATCCTGTACAAATTCGTTATAACTCCTTGGACAGTGTGTCAGACCGTCGCAAGGCCACTACCTACACACAGAAGGACACAAACACAGAATAAACGCATACAGACATCCATGCCTCGAGTGGTATTCGAACCCACGACCCCAGTTTTCAAGCGGGATAAGACTGTTCATGCCTTAGAACGTGTAGCCACTGTGATCGGATTTTAAACTCAATTACTCATCCAAAATTCCCATTAAATAAAAATATCATCACAATAGTCACGGTTCGTCTTACTGCAAATAAAGAACACATCATAGCACTGACTACAGGCAACCGTTTAGATTGCATGGAGTTGAGGTGAAAGATTATTCTGTAATGGCGAACTCTAATGCATATTGAAGAGAGGAGTCAAGACATATTTAGGGTAATGTAAAGTTAAAAGTAAAGCTATCCCTGTAACAGGCCGTGAAGACCCATAAGGTTGTGAGACGTTGAGGCTCCCATATTTTCTCTAGATAGTGGGCTCACAGATGGCGATACGGTTGTCAGCCTTACGCGCCGACCGCCCTTTAACACCAGGAAGATTCCTGGTACTCCTTTCTGTTAGAGGTTTGGTCGACCCCAGGGCCATAGTGCAGCTGGAAGAATTGGGTAAATTGAAAATATCCACCTCCTTGGGACTCGAACCCGCGACCTTACGGCTTATAGCATAGTGCCTCAACCAACAACGCTACCGAGTGACCCCATTTAGAGTAATATGCTGATATTTAGTCCGACAGTCTGAGGAAAGTATCCTAAACCCTCATCAAATCTACTCGCAACTGACATGCGACATATGATACCGGCATTTTCCACACACGAAAAAGGAGCGATAACCACTCGACAGCGATACTCGGTACGGCCCATGAGCACAGCGCTTATGGGTCGGAATAATCTTCCTTGGTCTGTTAGCATGAATTCCCGCCTGTTTGTCTAAAGCTTGGATACTTGCTTTCTGATTATAGTATATGAATCCACAAACCGATCTTCGTTAAATGATGTTACACATTCGTAGGTTTGTTACAGAATAATACGTATTTAGACCCTACACGTCCTAACTGCCTATGCTCAAATTTGGGGAGAGGTGCCAGGTGTTTGATATTAATTTGATATTAATAGCGCAGTGCAAGAAGTATATAATAGCATCACATTTGTTCACACGAGACGTATACTCAATATCTGTGTACTTGGCAGGGGTTTGGGAAGCGCTTTATACAGAGAGAAGTAACAAAATATAAGAGCCTATCGTCTCTAATGCGGAATTCTGTAGCCTACTTTGGGAGATGTCGTGTCGATCAATGTATTAGATACTGAAGACGGTTCACAACGTCGAGATATATTTCAAAAACTTAACAGTGATACAGACGTTCAACTGTAAAAAATATAATAAAATAAGTTGAAAGAATAGACTCTTAATTGATCGAATTATTAATAAAATCTTTGGTACTATGTCAAAATAATACAAACATTTCTACAGGAAGTAACTGCACAAGCGCTGGAGTACAATAATTGATGACGAAGATCTTCCCAGGTGCTAGAAGTTTAATTTGAGTAATAAATACACAATTAAGCTGTGTAAAAGACAGGTTCCCCTGTTTAGTGCACTCTTCATTTACTCTTCATTTCCCTATCTAAAAGCTCTCGTTAAATATATATGATACATAAATACCAATCTCAGTGAAATTTTTTATTTAGAAACATACATTCATTACTCATACGACAATAACTTCTTCCGATTAAGCACATACACACGTAAGACTTTCCTACCTGAAGGCCGTGGAGAATTAAAGAACTGTTGAACAGTTACTGATTTTCGTGCAGAAAAAATATTATAATTTTATTTTGCAAAGACCAGGATGGAATGGAGAATATTACATAGAAGGAAAGTTAGCTTTCAAGGACAAGTTATTCTATAGTTCAAGGCTAAATACATATATCCTGCAGGCGGTAGCGTAGTACTTGTAGGTAGATACACTCTCGGTATGGGAAGTCGGCGATCCTCTTGAATGTTTTCTTCTCGGTGAAATAAAGTATGAATTATTATTTCAATTTAATTATTGTATAAGCCCGAATACACTATGCTACAAGCTGAAAGGTCGCTGTTTCGATTCTCGATGATTTCATTGTATTTTTCAACTGACCTAATCCTACCAGCCCTGGGGGTCGACTTAGCCTCTAATAAAAATTAGTACCAGGAATCTTCCTCGAGGTAAAGGGCTGCAGGGGCGTAAGGCTGACAACCTCACTGCCATCTGTGAACCGACTGTTTAGAAAATGTGCGAACCTCGACGTCTCACAACCCTATGGACCTCCGCGGTCTGCTACAGGGATATTTTACTTTTTTTTTAAATTTTTATGTAGTTCTCACTCTGCAGTAATTTTCGTTTACTTAAAAAGATGACAGCTCTATTTTCTAAATTACTTCTTTTGAAGAATAATTTACTCCTTTAACGAAGAAAAGTGACGACGGATGAAGACAAGAATGAAATAATTCCCAATTTGTTTTCAATATTATTCCGACAAGTAATGTTAGAATTGTCAACTTAATGAGTTTATGTCAAGCTGTACATGTAGTTAGGTTGGAGGGAACAAGACCTGGATCACAGATTTTAGCGCTTGTACGTTTGGATAGAGGTTACTTGACATATCGAAGAAGCGACCTAGGATGATATTAAAATGTACCTTAAGTAAAATAACTTTTAGAATGTGCATATGCTCAGGACCATTCCGAATAACGGCTTTCATACTGAATTTTCATGTTATCTTACTAGAGTCCATATGCCAGTCACCTAGTTATTTGTAGAGGAAACCGTGAATATAACCAAAAATATCCAAACTTTTGTGGTTATTTGACGATAATAACTCTGGGATTTTCTTGAATAATCTAAATGGACATATTAAATTTCTAGTTATTAGGTTATAGCATTCGAGTTAATTACATTCAGGAATTATGTAGTGAAACTGGCAGTGAATATAATTACAGAAACAGCTAAAATTGTCAGAATTCCCTTGTCAGTCTGTCCGTGCTCGACGTGGGGTTCCTAGTGCAATCCGTAATGTCATTTATATTAGAGAATCTTTTGATTTGTGCTCAGTCTGTCTATTAAAACTGCATACACGTCATTCCATACAGTTCGGCTATTAGTTCGGCGTTTCGCATACAAACTTACAAACTGACTGCGCATGTACTGGTTTGTTATTGATTAAACATACTCTAATTCTTGTCAGAGAGGTCCGTAAATCGAACTTGTGCATCAGATATAATAATTTGGATCTTTCCATGATACGCACACGTATCTCCTCATTTATTCTTGTTAAATACTGTAAGAATTCTTTGAAGCTAGCAAAGATTTCATAGAGATGCCATAAATTCAGCTTTTTTATGCAATCCTCGTTTAGGAACGAAATCCTGGAGTAAGACAAAGCGAATTTCATGCATTAACGAAACAGAAGTCAGCACATTCAGGTTTCCATCTTCTGAGACGTGATATTGTATAGTTTAGAGATAATTACAGCGTCTCTAAGGAGTCCGCTGTCTCAACCGTTCTTCTGATATGAAAATGGAAGAAGCAGGTTCCTCCGAAACGTTCGTATCTGTCTATCGAATTACGTCAACACATTCTGCAATAACATAACAATAATATCCAATAACGTAATACTTCGAACCTCATAATCGCAGTAGAACTTAAAGGAACGTGTTCTGTCTGTACAGAAGTTGTTTACTGGCATCGAGACGTACAGCTGTCTTGTAATTCAGCTCAGAAGCCTGTTTAACTGAACAAAAATTAAAATAATTTGGTCGAAATGCAGTGTAGAGCTTTTGCAAGGCTCGGAAGGGCAGATTTACACCTACGTGCAGCAAAGGGATATCTGGCGCAGTGATTCACAGAGGCAGACTCAGAAAGAGAACTTTGAGGTATATTTTACCATTACTTTTATTAAATTGTATAGGAAAGGTCGCGCCATAGCTCAAGCGGTTAGTCGCTGGCTTCCGACCGCGGCGGCTCGGGTTCAATCCCGGGTCTGGTTAAGTGGGATTTGTGGTGGACAAAGTGGCACTGGGGCGGGTTTTCTGCAAGTACTTCGGTTTCCCCTGCCAATTTTCATTCCACCAAATTTTCGATCATCATAATCACCCGGGCAGGATACAATAGGCCAATCAGTGGTCGCCGTGCCGAGTGGACCAAGTTGGACTCCACTCCCACTAAGCGAATTAAAAAAAAACTGTGTAGGTAGCGGCATTGCGACGGGCCGATCCCCCATCCGAAGAGTCCTACAGACTGTGTAAAAAGATGAAGAAACTGAATAAGCGGCTAAGGTACAACAAAGGGCTATAGAGCCATAGATAAATATGTGGATGATGTTTTACCTCTTAACACTTATTTGTTTATCGAAATTCTGCCTCCTGGCATTTTTAGTGACTTTACAAATGTGTGCCCTACACCATCTGCTGCATTATGCTGTATCTCTAAAATTCCACAAAACCAATATGTGGGCTCTAATTCATTGAATTTCTAAGTTTTCTTATCCATAATATTGCAGTCGGATTCCACCTGACAGGGCTTTTAAAATTCTGTCGAATTCTAAATGAAAAATACTATTTTAATTGTTATGGGAGTATTTCATTTGTACGTCATCCATTCTTTTGATATACAGGATAAAATGGAAGGCCGTATAAAACATTGGCGTCGCAGTGCCTTAGCTCAGGCTGTTAGTCGCCGGCTTCCCAAGGCGGTGACCCGGATTCGATACCAGGT